TTGCCGCCCCCCCCCCGGCGTGCCGCGGATCCGCTCCTGCCTTTCTCGGGCAGCCCGGCTTACCTCGCTAGCTGGCAGTCCCCTGCGTTCTTCAGCTGCGGTAAATCTTCAGGGTCACCACAATGCCAAGTTTCAGCATCCGTGCAAGGACAGGAACGACTCTCACACACACATTGATACGATGTACTGTCGGTTCCTTTATTATTCCGCTTGTGCAGTTATATACATTTTCCAAATCTATACACGCTATTACGCTTATTCGGATAGGCTACAGACATAAATCACACACTGTTCACATGCCCCACATTCCCTTATGATTGGTAACTATGCACTAACACCAATAGCAACAGGCCACCTCCACGTCCTTGAACACATCTTGTTTTTGCTAAGCCACACCATGTGCACTATCAGAACTTTCTCAATGGCTATTCTTAGCTGTCTTTTCCAGCGGCCTGTTCAGGTATGCTGTTTTGCTTAAGCGGCCTAGTCGTGCTAACTCTCAAGCTGCATCAACCCCAACAGGATGGGATCAAAGTCATTCTTCTTCCCCGGAAATCAAGTGAGCTAGCAGCATCCTACAAGCTCTCAGCCTTATAAGAACAAATGCTGCGGAGCAACAGAGCCACACCATCTGGCAAACACGGGTTGGAACATGCTGAGCAAGAAAAGGCTGGCATCTCTCTGTGCTGAAGCCTGGAGGCATCGTGCTAAACGCTGACTCTCTCTGCTGTGCACCCTGAAGGAGAAGAAGCCGCCGTAGCAGACCGCCGGGAGAAAGGCAGTTGAGGGTCAGGCTCTGTTCAGCCTCTGTTGCCCTCCGTGCACCTGGCCTGACGGTAACCACAAGGCTTCGGAGGAAGCTGATGCTGACTTCTGTTAATGAAAATGAAGGCCCTGTGTGGGTTCAGTTCTTAAATGCTGCGTTTTTCTTCCTGCCTGCACAGTGGGCACAAGTGTGCCTTCTCCAGTTAAGCTGCAGGTTCTTTCCGGCTGGATTTATTTTTCGTGCTCTATGTGTAGATATAGAAAAGTGCAAAGGAATACTCTCAGCAGAAGTGTCACAGCCCAGCCACGCGGCAGGCAAAAGCGAGCGCACTGTGCCTTGGAACACTCAAGCCAACTGCAACACATGCAGCAGTTCTGAGGGGGAGCACAAGTGGAGCTCAAAGTCAGCGGTACATAAAGACTGTGGGATCCTGTCTTTACGCAGTGCCCGGCAGAGCACAGCAAGCTGCCGTGACTACAGCTCAAGGCCTGCACTAGGCGCTGTGCAACACTTTTGAACCATCCTTGGTCACCACCGCCTCCGAGTTGCCCAACGCTCCACGTGCCCACAGGCGCCGGGCTAAGCGCAGGAAAGCGATCCGCTGCATCTCCCTTCTCCTCTCCATCTACTGCGAGTTATTAATAATTACACCTCTTTTTCTCTTCAAAGAGCCAAGCTGTAGGGAAGATGTCTTCTTATATCTTCCCCTTTTCCACCAGGCTAATTACAACAACTCTGAGACTTCCCGGTACGCTTGGGACGTTCAAACCAGCATGCTCCTGTTGCTAGCTCTCCTGAATGGGTGACAGGTGTTGCTTAGAGTTAAAAAATATTTAGCAATACTACAGGTACTCCAAGCCCCGTGACAGGCACTGCGGCTACTCAAAACCCAGCGACAGGCGTTGCAGCTGAACCGACCTGTGCTGGTAAAAGTCTCGGTGATACACAAGAAGAAATACATTAAAAAATCAGATTGCAGGGGTGAAGATGAAGCAAGGTCGTCACGAGAACAGGAGGAAGAATCGAGATAATCACCCCATCCTTATCTCTGGGTGAGCTGTGAAATATACACAAGGATTTCAGCCACCACCCAGGCGAGCACATTGTCACATGGCTGCTCCGATGCTGGGGTAAAGGGGCCAGCAGCGTGGAATTAGAGGGCAGGGAAGCCGAGCAGCTGGGACCCCTGTCTAGGGAAGGAGGCATTGACAAGGTGATTGGAAGAGGGTCAGAAGTCCTCAGCCTTTGGAGATGACTTCTCTCAGACATGAGGAACAGGTGTCCCTTCAAGTAAGATATTATAAACCACCTAGGCAAGTGGACCTCCATGAAGAGAGGTATCCAGTACGTGAGGGAATGACCCATGTGGGAGCTGATTTACTGGACAACCTGCAGTCACTCTCAGATCCAGATGAAGTCCCAAGTACCTGACCCCTGTGGCAGAAGTTTGTACGGAGCGCACCATTGTCTTATGCCAACTCATTGACAGTAATGGACTGGAAAGGCAAAGAGGTGCCAACGGTGAAGTGGCTGGCCAACTCCGGCAATACGAAGAAAGTCTCTCTTCTCCCAGTTGGACCGCGTTTTGACTGTGGAAAGGCTGTCGGAAAAATCCAAAACCATGTTCAAAAAACTGTTTGAAAAACTGGATAGGTCCTACTTCCCACCTGTACGGACCAGTATCTCAGCTATTAGGAGAAAGTATTCCTCTGCTCAAGAGAGACAGTACACACCATGGAGCACCCTGTGGTATTACCTGTGTGACCATGAAGAGGACATGAGGAAGTGGGATGGAAAACCTACCTTGACGCTAAAGGCAGGGGTAAGTGAGTTAGAAGGAAAAACAATCATCACAGATGAGGGTTCTCCCAGGAAAATTGCTACTCCGGTTTACAGTGGGGAGTTCTCCAGGTGGAGCAGAAGGACTGATCTTGCTTCTGATCATAGTGGAGGGACTTCTGATTGGTACTGACAAGAAGCGAGTACCAAGCCTGGGGTAACCCACGTATGCCACATGAATCCATTCGTCAACAACAAACACTATGACCAGGACTAGATGGGCCCTGCCTCCAGCAAGGACGAGGAGGGGGACAGCCGCGTTTATTGGAATGTGTGGATTCAATGGCCTGGCGCATCAGACCCGCAGGGGTATCAGGATTTTGTAGACACCGGTGCACAGTGTACTCTAATGCCATGCAGCTATAAAGGGCTAGAACCTATCTGTGTTTCTGGAGTGACAGGGAGATCCCAACAGCTAACTGTATTGGATGCTGAAGTCAAACCTAACTGGGAATGAGGGGCAAAAGCAGCCAATTGTGACTGGCCCCAAGGCTCTGGGCATCCTTGGCATACATTACCTCAGGAGAGGATATTTCCAGGATCCAAGAGGGGACTGGTGGGCTTTTGGTACAGCCGCACTGGAGACGGAGGACATTAAAGAGCTGTCTGCTTTGCCCAGTCTTTTGGAGGACCCTTCTGTTGTGGGGTTGCTGAGGGTCAAAGAACAGCAGGTGCCAATCACTACCACAACAGTGCACCGGCGACAGTATCGCACCAACCAAGATTCCCTGACCCCCATCCAGAAGCTGATTCATCAACTGGAGATCCAAGGAGTAATTAGCAGGACTTGCTCACTCTTTAACAGTCCTGTATGGCCAATGTGAGAATCTAATGGAGGGTGGAGACTTCTAAAAAGATCCATCATCTTATGACAGATGCAGGTCAAGGAACTGATCAAGCAACAGGTCAAGGACCACTTCTGGAGGGATGAACAGAAGGAAAAGTGAAAAGGCTGGTGGAAAAAGTACAAAATGTGCCACCGGGAGAGCACAGGTGAGGAGAACACAAGTCTAGCAAAAGAAAATGACCCCAAGAAAACTTAACCAGAATTCAGTGACTACTACATAGGTGAAGACAGCCTTTCAGGCTATTCAGCAAGTGGTGAAACAAAGCATGAGCCAAAAAGGACGGGGAGTACAAGCGTGGAGATAATCTGTGAAGAAAAAGGGATGGGCACAATGAGGCCTCCTAAAAAGAAAAAACAGCAGAAGAAACACTGGAAACATCACGTGAATAACTCAGCACCTTTATCTCCAGTGGCAATTAGAATTAACAGTGGTAGTGACAAGAAGCCAGAGTACCGAGTGTGACAGCAACGTCACTTGGAATGGCACAACTCAGACAAATAAGAGGGAAAAGAAGTTTCCATTCTCTTTTCTGGGAATGATCGGATGTCAAGATTTTTACGGAGTCAGCAAGGAAACTGGAGGAGCAGCCAAAACTTATGTAGTACTACCAGCAGAAGCCATCCTTCCTATAGTACCTAGAAAGACCACCACCACCACTGACACTAACGATATCAAAGACACTTGTCAACAGGTCACGTTGGTTTGACTCCCCAGCAGAAAAGTAGCGTATTTTACACTGAACACTGCTGAGAAGTGAAGAAGGTAGAGTATGTCTGGTGCGTACCTTTTAAGGTTTTTCCGAGTCACAGAATCATAGAATGGTTTGAATTTGAAGGGACGTTAAATATCACCTAATTCCAGCCCCCGCCCCCCACCACAGGCAGAGACACCTTCCACTAGACCAGGTTGCTCAAAGCCCCATCCAGCAACCCTGATATGAAACCCTGCGGGGGAGGGGCCACCCACAGCCTCTCTCGGAAACCTGTTCCAGTGCCTCACCACCCTCATAATGAAAAAATTGTCTTTATATTAAGCTAGATCTGCCCTCTTTCAACTTGAAGCCATTACCCCCTGTCCTATTGCAACAGGCCCTGCTAAAAAGCCTGTCCCCATCTTGCTTATAAGCCCCCTTAAAGCACTGAAAGGCCAGAAGAAGGTCTGTGCAGTGCCTTCTCTTCTCCAGGCTGAACAACCCCAGCACTCTCCACCTGTCCTCATAGGAGAGGTCTTCCAGCCCTGTGACTATTGTTGTGGCCCTCCTCTGGATCTGCTCCAACAGGTCCATGTCTGTCCTCTCCTGAGGGCTCCAGAGCAGGATGCAAGACTCCCGGGGGGGGTCTCACCAGAGCGGAGCAGAGGGGCAGAATCCCCTCCTTCGACCTGCTGGCCACGGTGCGTTTGATGCAGCCCAGGATACGGTTGACCTTTTGGGCTGTGAACGCACATTGCCAGCTCATGTTGAGCTTCTCGTCCACCAGTGTCCCCAATTCCTTCTCCTCAGGGCTGCTCCAAATACATTCTCCGTCCAGCCCATATTTGTGTTTGGGATTGCTCCAACCTGTGTGCAGGACCTTACACTTGACCTTGTTGAACTTTGTGAGGTTCACATGGGCCCACCTTTCAAGCCTGTCCAGGTCCCTCCCAGTGGCATCTCTTCCCTCCAGTGTGTCAACTGCACCACTCAGCTTGGTGTTGTCGGCAAACTTGCTGAGGGTGTGCTCAATCCCACTGTCCATGCCCCCGACAATGATGTTGAACAGTGCCGGTCCCACTACCGACCCCTGAGGCACATCACTCGTCACTGGTCTCCACTTGGACATGGAGCCATTGACTGCAACCCTTGGAGCGTGACCATACAGCCAATTCCTTGTCCACTGAGTGGTCCATCCATCAAATCCATGTCTCTCCAATTTAGAGACAAGCATGTTGTGTGGGACAGTGTCAAACAATTTGCAGAAGTCCAGGTAGGTGACATCAGTTGCTCTTCCCTTATGCATCAATGCTGTAACTCTGTCGTAGAAGGCCACCAAATTTGTCAGGCATGATTTGCCCTTAGTGAAGCCATGCTGGCTGCCACCAATCACACAGAAGAGTGTTTGGAAGCTGTAATTTCATAAATCCATCCGTTATTCTCATTGTATGCTAAATATATCCACACAATATTTCAAAGTTGTGTTTAAAATAGTTTTAAAATTCAAGAACCAAGGAAATGCATCACTTGCTGTCTTTGAAAGGTGTTTCTCTTCTTCCTGTGCGTGTAATTGACAAAACATTGTTGACAAAACCAAAACTGACTCTTCTTCTCCCTGAAGACAGGAAGGAGGGTGGGCGGTAGCACTGGAATTCTATTTTGCACCTGCTTGCAGCGGCACAAGTGTAACCTTTGTGCTTCCCTTTGGTTTACCGGGTGAGCAGTTTGAATGTTCGTTTGCTGTTGGCAGGGCACTCACTGGCACCTCAGTGATTTGGGGCTCTCATCCCATTCTCACATCTTGCATCCCATTGCAGTTTGGGATGAGAGGATGGATGCTGGAGCATCGGGAGGAGCGCTGTCACACAGCTATGTTATTATTACTCTGGTTTTCGATGCGTATCCTGAGTGCAGACATAAATGCAGTAGAAACTTTGCAGTTAAGATGACCAGGTCTGAGTCAGGAACTGACACTGAATACCTCTAGTGAGCGATCACATTTACGATTGTGACAGCTCTGGTAATAATTACTCTTTTCCACGGTCTAGGATTGCATCCCTGCTATACACATGAAAGGGAAAGGATGCTTAGTCTTCAACTGCTGCCATATTCCATGGCTGCTGGCAGCAGAGGTGGCAGCAGCCTTGGCTGAAGAAAATCACCAGATGGTTTAGGTTGTTTTGCCTGGTTAGACTGGTTGCTCAGAGAGAAGCAGGGAAGTTAAAGCACAACACGCGTAGGTGACACATGCCTGTATGTTACAGCACATAAATATGTATCTGGGGAGTCAGATATTGAAAAATAGCCAGAATCTCACATGTTCATTTACACCTTAACAATAAAAACTACCATTCCACAGGTAACTTCTAGTAAGGAAACCCTGTGACTACCCTGCACTGGCAGATAATGCGGTAATGTATCTGAATAACTTGTTAATGGAATTGCTATAAAAGAATGTACTGATTACTTCCTCAGGCTTTTGACACAGGGCCAAATTCTGATGCCCTATTAACGCAGTTCAGTGTATTTCTCAGATCACAGCAGAGATTTGTTCACATGGGCTTTAGCTTTCCAACTCTCGGGCCTCTGTCTCATGAGAGGGGAAGGACTATCAGGTGCACACAAAAGAAAGGCAGTTCAAGAGGACAGTCTATGTGGAAAAGAAAGGCGAGGCAGGCCAATGGAACAGGTGAGGCAAGTGGTGGAGGAACCAACAAGGAAAGGCGCTCTGCTGGACCTTATACTAACAAACAAGGAGGGACTGGTTGAGGATGTGAAGGTCGGAGGTAGACTTGGCTGCAGCAACCATGAAATGGTGGAGTTCAGGATCCTGCGTGGAAGAAGCAGGGCGATAAGTAGGATCAAAACCTTGGACTTCAGGAGAGCTAAATTTGGCCTCTTCAAGGAGCTACTTGGAGGAATCCCGTGAGCCAGGGCTCTCGAAGGCAGCGGGGTCCAAGAGTGCTGGTCGCTGTTTAAACATCACTTCCTCCATGCTCAGAAGCGGTGCATCCCCCTGAGAAAGAAATCTACAAAACGAGGCAAGAGACCAGCATGGATGAGCAAGGAGCTTCTAGCGGAGCTCAGGGGGAAGAGAAAGGTCCGTGGAATGTGGAAAGAGGGGCAGGCCACTTGGGAAGAGTACAGGAACGTGGTCAGAGCATGCAGTGATGCAACGAGGAAGGCCAAGGCACACCTGGAACTGAATCTGGCAAGGGATGTCAGAAACAACAAGAAGGGCTTCTTCAACTACATCAGCAGCAAAAGGAAGGCTAGGGACAATGTGGGGCCGCTGCTGAATGAGGCGGGTGTCCTGGTGATGGAGGATGCGGAGAAAGCAGAGTTACTGAATGCCTTCTTTGCTTCAGTCTTCAGTGCCAAGGCAGGCCCTCAGGAATCCCAGGCCCCGGAGGT